ACTGGTAACCGGGATTTTTAATGATTCGCAGTGATTTTAATGAGAAAAATTGAGGACTAAAGGGTAATAATCCAGTGACAGGTGTGCGCGAGTGAAAGAACTTTAAAGTTTGCACAGGGACACTTATGAAGGGGTCCATCGACGTGACGAGATCCATCGCTTATTTCATCAGATATATCTGGGATATTGATTGGAAACAGTAATTCAATAAAGGTAAATTTGAGAGAATGACAATAATCACTTTGCGACTCATGCGTTCATCGGTAATGACAGATCGATAATCCGGGAGCCAATGCACTAGTTCAATTACGAGGGTTTTGAGGAGATAAAGACATCCAATTATTGGAGATTATCTACCGATTTTTTGCCTGATTCATACGGTCTAGTGGCAATCTCTTGTTCGATTAAGTTCTAATGATAACTGAGATTAAATCAGTCTCGTTTCATCAATGAAATGATGGTGCACTTTTTTATCTCAATGTAAAATACCGTAGTGCAGACTGGAAAATTACTTTTCATCAGTTGAAAATGTAATTGTGCGCAGTACAAAAGAGTCGGTAAGAAAAAGGGGAAATTGTTTTTCTTGCGAGTCACTGAACAACCGGATGTCACCTTTATCTGCACTATTGGCGAAAAATAATGGAGTACTTGTAATAATTGAGTACTTGATTCGTTCTCTACCGGAAGTACTGACAGGAAGTAGTTAAGTAGTAAGATAATTATGAGTACTTTGGGAAAAGATTTGTTAATTTAAAATTTGTAATTAGCAGAGATAAAGTGGGGAAGATCGGTCTTTTGAATAGAAAATTGAATTCCGTAGACACTTGAAAGGTAAAATTCCTTCTTTTCTTCTCGCTTCCATTACTACAATTTTTTTTCCCCTCCCCTCAGACGTTCGATAAGGCGTTCGAGAGGTAATCTCCGTGAGTGTCACTGGACCCCCGCTAATCGGATAATCCTGGGCTTCCTCTTTGCTAGCTTCACTGACTATTTTCATTCTCGTTCTATCCTCTCTTGAAAGCCTTTCTCGCTGACCCCGCGCTCATACGAATCAAAATGGTAACGGGCTAACTTTTAAAAGGGGATGGAAAATGAAGTCCCCAGCTTCTGAATGCAAACTCGGTTTTCTTGTCTCTGACTTGAATTCCATCTCAGCGTCACCGGCAATGAGATAAGAGGACAGATCTGCTTGGCTCCTTGAATCGAACACTAATCTTCTAATCTCATCCTCGAGACGTTTCCACCACTTTTTTTTAGATTTTTTTTCTCCGCGAGTTCTCCTTGACGGATTACGACAAATTACTTCTGTGAATCAGTCTTGGTAGTGTGAACGAATTTTTTATTACGATATTTTTCGGGATTTGTTTGCGAATCGGTGAAAGTCTGTAGATTATCCCGGTGTTTCAGGGGTACAACTTTCTCTTTAAAATGGAAATTTTATAACTAATGAAACCCTGGATTGTGCAGTATTCTACGCTGATAAGTATTCTTAGGTAAATATACTCCGATTCTCCGACTCGGACATTCTTTCAGAAATTTTTACTCCGATTTTTGGTTAAAATTCCCGAGTTTGATTTCATCAAATACCTCTTTCCTCGTGGATTCTGATTTCTTCCCCATCGGAAACTCGTGTTGGAAAATTTAAACAAATATCGCTATGAAATATGAGTCCACCGGAAAAATTATTCTACCACTCGTATTTAGTGAGGCATCTCACGTATTGACTCATCCAACCTTCTGACAAGGGTATCCGAATTAATGGGATAAAATCGATGAATAGGGACGGTTGATGAGAAATCTGGATGAACGTTAATTCCCATCCAGGTATGCCTGTGAGATTTCTTGAAGGTTTATTGCCTAAATTCCCAGGGTAATCGATGAGCAATGGAATCTCGTAATTTACTGCTTGCTGATTTGCAGCATTCCATGAATAATGCCGATATAATTGCGGGGCCATATGAAATAAATGGGTCCAAAATGTACGCAAAACTTTTGTCATTTCACGTTCAACCAGACGTTGTCATTAATTACAAATTAATTCCAGACTTGAAAAGAAAGTTCTGATAATTAAAGTGAAATTTTATCGGACATAAATGAACGATTGATTGAGATCTTCAGTGACTCTTTTAAAAAAATTGTTGTTAACTCGAAAAAAGGGAAAATTTATGACGGAATTTCTGCATTCTACATTTTATTATAAAACTTCTTTTCAATCTGCCTGTGTATCACAGGATATTTATAATTAGACCGTCTATACTCACATCATTCGCTGAAAATGTTCATTGGATTTTCCTGTTAATACCACTCGCTTTTATAAGTTGAGTAATTAAAATTGTAGCAGACACTCTGTCTCTGTGAGAGTGCGTATGGGTGTCGCCAAAAGTGGCACATCAAAGCACAAACTTCATCACAAGGCCTTTTCTCAAAATAAACCTGGCAAGCATCATCGGACGTGTTTTGCAATCATAAAAGACCATTCGTCGAGGAAATATTGATATTCGTGTTCACGATGTTCCTTTCAATTTTTACAGACAGTTCCTCTATTGTTATACCAAAAACAACTTCTCGTTTCAAATAAGATATGGCAAAAAAATTCATTGAACAATCCAAAACATGCGATCATCAAATTTTATAGATTTTCCCACTTAAATCCAGAATACAATAAATTGAGAACATTTTTCGGGCATTCTGGTTTTAAATCCAGTCATAATAAATCATTAGATTGTGTAATGAACATCATGCGGTAACATTCATAATTAATAAAGTTGATAATAAATCGCCGACCTTATGTATGCAAATAAAGCGGTAGCATTCATAATCAACTGATGGGAAATTTTCCATCTATGTGGATAATGAATCCGATAAAGTGCATCAAAAGCACGAAACGGCTGACTGAGCATTGTTGGTCACGTAATTACAGTATTTCGTATGCAGGGGGATCGATTTGTGGATAATTGGGAAAAATATTTAACGTCACAGAGTAGGAGAAAATAAGAGTATTAAAACTCCTTGATTAACGATTTACGTGGGATTTGGGGTTTTCATTGCCACTAATGAAAATCGAGTGAGGAATATCATTAGACAGGGATCGGTTGAATTGAACAATTTGTTCAGCCATCCATTTTTTATATCCAGTGATCAACGTTGATCAATATTGACTCAGGTTTTATTTTTGCACCTCAAAAATCCTCGAGAAAGATTGGATCGCACTTTATAATGATCTCGAATTATTGGTCACTGGAAACGGTCCATTCCGCGCTTCTCTCCTCTATGGCTGTTTTTATATTAGAAAATGGTGGATTTCGAACCAGTTATTGGTCATTCAAGAGATCAGCGTGGTGATGCGTCACTAAAAGGCTTCTACATAGGCCCATAACTTCCAGGTTTATTGAATAAACTCGGATTTTGCTCCACATATCACATATTCCAGTCTTTTACGACCACCTCGTCAACATTTTTCATCGGCGAAATGTCTGTATATAACCTGCACGCAGTCTAACTCAGAATTTTCTCCACATGCATAAATAAAAATACTTTTGGTATGGAAATTTGTTGGGTAGAATCAATTTTAAATTGTACCTGAGTTCTTGCTCAGAGTGGAAATTCAGGGAAAACGCCGGAACTTCGATCAGACGCGACCAGGTAGAGTTCTGAAATCAGAAAAATTCAGGGGGTAATATATTTGTTAACTATAAATTAATTAATTATCAGGGATAAAAAGAAAATTTCTATTCTCTTCCAAATGCACTTCTCTGGGAAAATCGAAAGCCGAAAATCGAAAGCTCGCCAAGTTGTTCGATCATGATGAGAACTTCACTCTTATCGACAAATATTCAAGTCAAATCGTCGAGCGTTGGCCGGTGGCAGATGCGTATGTGACCCAGAATTCCACTAAAAATAATCGCCTCGTGCGATTTTATCTCTTATACACTGAATTTAGAGAAAAATTGTTACATAATGAGAGTGCAGATTGGCGAGAAAATTCGTGACGGCACAGTTACGTGCCGTCTTCCCTTCATTATCCCAAAACTTTTAACAGATGAAGTTTCATATTTAACGACCAAGTGTCGAAGACTAAGAAAGAAAAAACTAACACGACAGAATTTTTATCTCCTGGGGGAAAAAAATCCTTCAACCGAATAGAAAAAAATTGTATGAATCATGTCGAATCGAAGGATTCATTGAAGCTCATGTACCAAGACGGTGAAACGTAGTGTGAAAACCACATGGTATCCCCCTACGGCAGCAGAGAATTCTTCTTTTCCGAATAACTCTGTGTTACTGGGTTGACCACCTAGGATTAGCGTGTGGCATGGATAATGTCCGGTTAAAGTTTGTTTTAACAGTTGCTGATGGAGTTTTGAGAGTTTCAAAAGTACGTAAGGGTTAGTGTACCACTGGCAGTTCAGAGCACCCTTGTACGTTGCGAAAATTGAACGACAGTTCTAGAAACTCGTGCACATTGTTACTTTCTTGTATGGAATCCTCTCTGAGGACCATTGAATCTAGTACCGTGGTATGTTTTAGCCATGATGAAAAAGGGACGAGAAAAATCTCGAGCTTGATACCATCTGTGCAATCAGTCATTATAAAAAAAGAGGGGAGAAATTAAAGGCTGCCACCCTTTTATCCTGTTTCTATCTTTCCTTTGGGTTAACGAAGTCTTGTTTGAGAAGCTTTCATCGCTATTGCAAACTCTTCGTTCGTAGCCACTGTACCTTGAAAAACGTGACCGATAATGAAACCGCAGATCTTTCAATTCGAATCCCTTGACCGCTGTCATGGCCGACGAGTTATAATACACTAGTCGCAAAATTCGTTCGGAGTCTCTGTTTTTTTTTCAAAACATTAATATTAATATATAAATATCAAGCTGAAGGCCATTGGACGTTGGCCACTCACAAACTTCTTGTGATAAATCACATTGAAAATGAAATATTCGTCGCACTATATTCTTCCATATAAATCTGTCATGTTAATTGGTGAAATTATTCTTGCAGAGTTGTTAACTGAGAATGCGCGATGACGCAGCGGATGTATCAGTGGTCAACGAGCCCTCGCGAGGCCGCACCTCAGGGTATCCAAATGGAGCCCCCGAGAATAAACTCCAATCACCGAGGAAAAATCCTCTCGAGGTGTAAGTACCATCAATCTACCGAATCTTTATTAATTAACGGATCAGTTTATTGAATAATGGTGACAAACTACTGATATTTACCGAAGTTAGTTGACGCATTGGGGATGATAAACTTCAGACACTCGGAATTTACGGTGAAACCTGGGGAAAAAAATATCTATAACACGATCACCTCTATCCTCTCCATCCTGAGATTGTCCATCTATCGTAGATTTTTCGTGGGGGGGAGGGTAAAGTTTCGAAACAGCAATTATTCTGGTTAATGGATCATTCTCTCGACTGGGGAATCCTCAGTGTTCACGGACTTTTGTACAAGGGTCTCAGGAAAGAATGAGTGCAACTGAGAGAATGGAGGGATGTCAAGAGTCCAGGGAACAAGTGGAAGTTAGCCAGCTTACAAAGTCTGAGATCGTTCCACCAATCCTCTTGACACTCACATTTTCTGTCCTGTTGTTCTTTTAATCCCCCGTCGAAGGGACTGAGTTTACGTATTTCACACTGCTCAACGGCATTTAAAGTTGAACTATTCAACCAGCACTGATATGGGAAAAAAAAATTTTAAGAGAAAATGCCAGCCCTGTCACTACGAACTTCTATCGCTTTTCGCTGATCTAGTGAGAATTATTCGGACGCCCCGTGTATTTTTTTTCTCTATAGAAAAAAAGAGTCAATAAATTTTCATGCTTCCATAAAACTGAATCTACGTGGTCTTTTTCTCGATAGCAATTTTGGCACGTCTATTTTCCGAGTTTTACGTGCTCTTTCCCATCTTCCGCCTGAAAATGATGAACAAATAGGGAGTCAATGATCAATTGAGTTAGTGCCATGAAAAAATAGAATTTTATTTATTTACTATTCCCGTTTAAGCAGGTTTGCAATAGAAAAATTAATATTCATCGCCTTATCTGTCTTCTCTTCTCCTCTTCTCGCATTAAACAAATTCACCAACCCCTCAGTATCATCTCCCCTTGGTTATCTATACAGCTAAACCCAGAGGGGAATACAAAATTCTCATCAGAGGGTTAAATGCTACATGACGAGTTATCTCAGAAAACAATTACACACTATAAAATACACCTAACATTCCCCTCGTATGCTATGAAAACGATTTAATTGCTCGAGCTACGCACGAAAGGTACCAAATGTCATTTCATTTACAGACACAGAGCAAGACAAGGAGAAGGATGAATGGGAAGCCGATTACATGCTAAAGGATAATGAAGAACCGATGTACGAAATGATTTACAGTATTATTACACTCTCAGTACAGAACAATCAGATATATTTAGCATGAACAATTAAGGAAGAAATGGTGTATGGAAAGAGGCGAATGGCGGCTACAAAGCGACTAGAATGAAATTATCGATAATAATTTGAAGACACCGTGATCAATAAAAATTTATTTGATGCATGTGTGCAAATACGGCACCTCGACTAACTATTGATTATTCTCTGTCCACAGTGAGTTTGTCCCACCGCAAACTAAGGAGGAGGAAAAGCCAACACCGACACCATCTCTTCCACCCGTGCCTTATTACAAACTCGTGAGTTCTCATATTTTATTTGCAAAAAATTCTATTAATCAGGATAAAAAAGTACTTGTAGCTAGTACCGAGTCGTCTCTGGGGAAAGTGCACTATTTTAAACTTGATGGAAGTAACAAAACAACTCAATGCAATTATCAAATGTCAAGTATATGTGTGTGCACTCAGAGATTTATGCAATCTAGTCTTAATATTGAATTCCCTTTGACGAAGGCGTCGAATGATTTATGGGCTTTGAAAATTTATGGACTTGGTTTAATTACTAAAGCATAAATCATCGTCATTTCATGGAGCCGTGTCACGTTGGCCGTTATATAACCCATTGATTCGGTTCCGCGGTAACACGATACACGATAGTCATCGTATCGATATCAGCCGTATCAATTGGCTCGAAAAGCCTAGAATATCATGGTGAATGCCATCAGTGATGGTTCACTCTGGTTGTGACATTATCATACCATAATTATTGTAATCAAACTGTTTATGTTGTCCAGTTCCGATTTGCGACACTCAGTGAGTTGATGTACGTATTTGCGGGCCTGTTCATGGGGACCTTGACAGGCCTATGTATTCCAATATCAACGATTCAGTATGGTGAGTTCACAACTCTCCTCGTGGATAGAAACACCAAGAATAAGACTAGCACACCTACCCTCATCATGGCTTGGTTTGGCGGTGGAGCGGTCTTGTAAGTTATTAATCCATTTACTCTTTTCAATCTCACCAAACCCACGCCAAAAGATTTATATCAGCGAGTATTTTCCAGGCGTGAGGAAAATTCCACGAGCATTTTAACAATTGCTAACTGATTTCTTACACGACAGGAAAATGTTATATACATCTGAAAACAACTTGGAGTAAATAGATGGGGAAAAATTGTGAAGGGAAATTCGATTACGACCAGTGAATTTCAATTTATTTTTCGCAGTTAAAGGATTGAATTATTGAGAAGGAATTTGGGACTCACACGGAATGTGATTTTTTTTAATTATTAAAAAAATGTAATGATGTTCGGAGGAAGTAGAAAGCAATGAATATCAATCGAGAAAATGTGAGCGAATCTCACCCTGATCCTGCCTAAGACTTGTGAATCCCACTCCGTCCATCACTGTTGAGAAAATCCTTTATCTGTCACTTGTTGAAAAATGAAGTCTGGTCGCGGCCCATTTCCTTTCCACCACTTTTCATAAAAAAATTCTATGGCACTGATAAAAGATCTACACTTATTATTTATGGGGTAAAGTCTGGTACTAACGGACAACGGATAGCATCGGGTATTCACATTTTATAGCTAGAGCTGAAATAGTGATCTCGGATTTAATTTATCACATCGCTCACACCTCTCGAAATAGTAGGTTATATCAGTGAAAATCGATATTCCATTCTTGCGATGACCATTGTTAAAATAAAAGAATATTGACGTGAGAATTAAATGGTGAATTGGTGCCAAACGGATGAATGATAAAATTGGATTACAGAGGACCTAATGCAACAGTGGCAGAACAAATGGATGCCTTGTACGACGACTCAGTGGCATTTGGCGTGTCATGTGCAGCTCTATCAACATTGCAATTCTTCTTCGCTATATTTACAGTGGACTTCCTCAATGTAGCGGCCTTCAGACAAATTGCCAGAGTCCGTAGGATGTTCTTGAAAGCTGTATTGCGACAGGATATGTCTTGGTACGACACCAATACATCAACAAACTTTGCCAGCAGGATAACAGAGTGAGTGCATTAATTTGTCACCCGAAATATCCACTGATTGACCTGGTAAATCCATTTTAATGCTCAAACATTAGGGCTGACGTATCGAAATTGCTATCACTGGTTAAAATGGGAGAATGAAGACAGGGGCCAAGCCCTTGTCAGAGGTTAACATGTTCATGCAATCGTGTAAGGGTACACCAGACAACAGGTGGTTGAACGTGAAACTTCCAAATCCATGTACCACCTTGAGTCCCTCCCTCTTGTTCCTCTTTTTTCTTATCAATATGACGGGTCTTGTCCTCTGACCCCTGAAAAAAAAATTCCAAGCAGATGCAAACATCGGATATCGATTAAACGATCAATACTTGATTCAATCACCCCGTGTGTTACACTAATATTCTCACTCCCTTTCCCCGGAAGATGTTAAAGTCTCGTATGGTCCAGAAGTTGTGTCAGTCATTGTTCAAGAAACTTGTCCCAACTGTCGAACTGCAGAAACTTGTTACAATGATAATGAGAATGCAGTTATACCCACGTCAAACCATTCCACGTCCCTCGCCTTCTTGTGCAAGATAGTCACCTTCAAACTTGGCTGGGGCAATACTTTATCATCGAACTGGTTCATTTAGCAAGTCGAGATATCTTATCAATTCGCTTGGATAAATAATGCATCCTCAGGTAACTAACCGGGAGATAAGCCAATGGCACATTCAATTCTGTAGTCAAGTGCCAAAGATTGTTCAAATGCCTGCATTTTTGTTTACGGTGCAGCTATCTTAACGATAACCGCTTCTCCATGATTATAATCCCCTATTAGGAAATTTTTTAACAGTCTTGATTTGCGGAATGATAAATATGTTATCATTCGAACATGTTCACAAATCTGATAAAAGGGAAGTTAATGAAACTCATTGAATTTCCGATGAAACCCAAAATTTTGCATTTTCCATTTGCAGAGATTTAGACAAAATGAAGGAGGGAATAGCCGAGAAACTTGGAATTTTCACGTACCTCATGGTATCCTTCATATCATCCATCATTATATCGTTTATATACGGGTGGAAGCTAACTCTAGTGGTTTTGAGTTGCGCCCCAATCATCGTTATTGCCACAGCAATTGTGGCTAAAGTTCAGAGTTCCCTGACTGCCCGTGAATTGAGTGCTTACGGTCAGGCCGGAAGCGTTGCAGAAGAGGTACTCGGAGCAATAAGAACAGTAGTGGCATTTGGTGGTGAAAAAGTAGAAGTTGCTAGATACACGAAGAAACTGGAACCGGCGGAGAGCACGGGAATCAAACGAGGCCTGTGGTCGGGTGTTGGCGGTGGTGTCATGTGGTTTATCATCTACATGAGCTATGCTCTGGCATTCTGGTATGGAGTGCAATTGATTCTCGAGGACAAGCCCAAAGACATTAAAGAGTATACACCAGCAGTTCTTGTCATTGTATTCTTTGGGGTTCTTGCGGGTGCCCAAAACATGGGTCTTACATCCCCCCATCTTGAGGCATTCGCTGTGGCACGTGGTTCAGCAGCAGCAATTTTCCAAGTGTTGGATCGTGTACCCACGATCGATAGTCTCAGCAGTGAGGGTCTCAAGTTGAAGAGCTTTAATGGTGACATAGAATTTAAGGATATACACTTCCGTTATCCAGCCAGGCGGGACGTCAAAGTTCTCCAGGGATTGAATTTGAAGATTAAACATGGTGAAACTGTGGCATTGGTCGGTGGCTCCGGCTGCGGTAAATCTACCTGTTTGCAGCTGATTCAGCGGCTTTACGATCCCCTACAGGGCCAGGTATACTACTCTTTTAAACTATTTCACTTGGTGCATACATTGCAAATCGTACAAGTGCCTTCAGTGTTCCTGTTAATGCTGTCTTTGCTGGTTTTTAATAAATACCTTAACGAAATTTTGAAAAACATGTCCAAGTGACGCGTTATTTACGGAATGTATTTTTTTTAATCTTTTTAACTGGAACATTGAGGGTATTAGTTTGAGATTTTTATTGAATCTGAAATAAGTATCAAGGAAAGATGGACTATCTCACTTTCATTGAATTACTCCTCTTAAAAAAGAGATTTTGTGAGGAAAAGTGACTAGATCGATGCGACACGTTGTGACTCGTGCGTTCTTTCGAGCATCGTACAACAGTTTCATATATTGCATCAAGTTTTTCTTGCGTTACCTCTTAACGGGCTCTATCTTTATACTGATATTTTATGACCATCGTCGTATACTGGGAGAAATGGATTTTAGACAGTTTTATTCACTGCCTATTCACGGGGTGTTTATGACCAATGCTCCACCGCATGTTCAACTATCAGTTTTCATGACAGTTGTTTTTTTTATCTCCGACTAGCGATGATGCTACAGCATCTGGAGGGAAATATATTTTAAGGGATATACATCTGCGAATATATTAAACTCTGTCGGTTGATAAAAAAAATATATATTTTATATATATTACAAGAGTGAGGGAAATCTGTCTATACGATCTATTGGTGGAAATTATTTCCCGATGGACGACTACAATAAATAAGTAGTGAAACAAAATGTCAGGGTGAAAGATTGTACATACTTTAGGATGCAAGGGAATGTAACGAATCGATTATCGATTACAGGTACTGTTGGACGGCATTGAGATACCCAAATTGAATGTCGCATGGATGAGGTCACACATTGGTCTTGTGGGTCAGGAGCCTGTTCTATTTGACACAACTATCCGTGAAAATATACGCTACGGTAACGATAACGTTACAGAAGAAGAGATGATCAAAGCGGCAAAGGAAGCGAATGCACATGACTTCATCAGTAAACTGCCTGAGGTGAGATTGGCATTTCGTATGTGAGCATTTCAATTCAATGAAAATTCAGTTGTGCACTTCAAAGGATATCTCACGCACGATTATCATATATTATCGCTCTGTGTAATTAGATAATTTCATAAATTCAAAACCAGTGCCCGGGTTTGTCTCGCATTATCTCTCCGCCGAGATAATTTCGCGCCAAATGAGTCAACCGAGTCTCAGCCCCTCAAAAATTCAATTCTAAAATTCAACTGAGTAAAAAAATCCGAGGAAATTCACGAGATTTTTATCGATAAGTGTGAATTTTTGAAGGGATTGAGGGCACGCCATTGATTAATTTGATATGGAATCCCTCAAATGAAATTCATACTCAAAGGTAATAACTCTCCCATCACAGGGTTATGACAGTCCAGTGGGTGAGCGTGGCTCTCAATTATCAGGCGGTCAGAAGCAACGAATAGCCATAGCACGTGCTTTAGTCAGACGACCAGCGATTCTATTGCTTGACGAGGCAACATCCGCTCTCGATCTGCACAGTGAAGCTACGGTACAACGCGCCCTGGATGCTGCATCCAAAGGCAGAACAACGGTTATCGTAACTCATCGCCTGTCAACAATCACCAATGCAGACCGAATTGTTTTCATAAAAGACGGACAAGTCGCTGAAATGGGAACCCATGAGGAGCTTCTCGCACTGGGAAATCATTATCATGCTTTAGTATCAGCTGATGCCAGTGCAACGGCCAGAGGTAATAGGGCAATACAATTTGCATCAATTTGCATCATTTTTACAATTACTTTTTCATATTATTTGAATGCGCCTTAACGCGCATTAATGGGTCGAAATGCATCGACCGAAAACACGAAAAGGAACAAACAGAATTGAACGATCATTCCATTTATCTTTAATAAGTGGTAATATTCCCGTATTTTTTAATGAACAGCAAAGGCAACGGCATCGGCAGTAAAAACCGTGACAGCGACAAAGCCGAAGCCGAAGCCTCCCCTCAAGAAGCAGTTCTCTACTCTGTCTATGCACTCACACCGTCTCTCGTTGGCTGGTGGATCGACAACATCTGAAGAGGAGCTCGATGAGCACGAAAAGCCATACGATGCACCGACGATGAGAATTTTTGGCCTAAACAAACCGGAGTGGCCATATAACGTGATTGGTGAGTATTCTAAAGAATTTTCATAAAAAACCAATCCAATGATAATTCCTAATTTCAAATTCTCAATGGATTTCTATCAGGTTGTCTAGCTGCTGGTGTTGTTGGTGCATCATTTCCAGCGTTTGCTGTACTATTTGGTAAAGTGTATGAAGTATTAGGTCTACCGGATGACGATGAGATTCGCGATGAAACCGTAAACTTCTCAATTCTTTTCATTGTGGTGGGTATCATCACGGGGGTTGGTACGTTCCTACAAATGTACATGTTCGGTCTTGCGGGCGTTAGAATGACCACTAGATTGAGGAGTATAACGTTTGCGGCGATGTTGAAACAAGAAATGGGCTGGTTCGATGAGGATTCCAACAGTGTTGGTGCATTGTGCGCTAGATTATCGTCAGATGCTGCTGCTGTTCAAGGTGCAACTGGAAGCAGAGTTGGATCGATTCTTCAAGCCATGTCGACACTCGTTCTTGGTGTTGGATTGTCATTGTACTTCACTTGGAAGATGACACTTGTGTCGATTGTCTCAATTCCCCTGGTGCTGGGGGCTGTGTTTATGGAAGCAAGAATAATGGGCGGTCAGGGAATGGAGGAGAAGAGAAAAATGGAATGTGCCACTAGGATAGCTATTGAGGCAATATCAAATATACGTACTGTTGCGAGTTTGGGGAAAGAGGGCGCCTTTCTGGATCGCTATTGCGTTGAACTGGCAAAGGTTGCTGCAGCAACCAGAACGCGAAACCGTTTACGTGGTTTGGTATTCTCTTGCGGTCAGACTATACCGTATTTTGGATATGCCCTTAGTCTCTATTACGGTGGCTATCTTGTGGCTAGAGAGGGCCTCCCCTATAAAGACGTGATCACAGTATCCGAGGCACTGATCTTTGGATCGTGGATGCTTGGTCAAGCACTTGCTTTCGCTCCCAATTTCAACACAGCAAAAATATCAGCAGGTAGGATTTTCCGATTGTTGGATCGAGTCCCTGAAATTATGACACCACCGGAATTGGATGATAGGGATAAAGATTGGAAGGCCGATGGACTCATACAATTTTCCAAAGTGGAATTTCACTATCCGACTCGGGTTGAGAGTCAGATTCTTCGTGGTCTCAATTTGATTGTTAAGCCTGGACAAATGGTTGCATTGGTTGGACAGAGTGGATGCGGTAAATCAACGTGCATTCAGCTACTTCAACGGCTTTATGATCCAGTGTCGGGCACGGTTACCATGGATAGACGTGACATTTCATCGGTATCGCTTGCTGCATTGAGAGCCCAGCTCGGAGTTGTAGGACAAGAGCCTGTATTGTTTGATCGTACCATCGCTGAAAATATTGCTTATGGAGACAATAATCGGATTGTCGGCACGGAGGAGATCATCGAAGCAGCCAAGAAGTCCAATATTCATAGTTTCGTCAGCTCACTACCTCTGGTATGTACATTTTTCTCCCTTTTTCGTTGTTTAAAAAAAAAGTGCCTGTCCATCTTGCCCATTCCTCATGTTACGGAATACCTTCGAAACTATTGCAATTAGCGATTCAGTGGGAAAATTTCGAATCTGACAAGATAATCTCGCTATTTATACTGAGATCTGAGCAAAAATATCTCGAAAGTATTGATTATCCCGAAATTGCGAATATCCTGAGGAAGGGATGGAACTATCGTGTCCGTTATCGAGTGATTTTCTGTGTGTAACTTTGACTTGCCCATCCCAAGGAAGATCCATCCCCGGTACCGGGTCATTTTAGTTCAATTTGGTACATTGAAGTGGTCTTTTTGTCAACCGGATATACGCTAGACCGATTCAACGGCTCTAAAATGAGATTGAAAATAGCATACTAGAGGTTGGATTGAAATTTCACGCTGGGTTATGCAGAGCCACGTGAATGTTGCATTGAATTCTCAATTAATGGAACGGTTCAAGTGGTCCTTTCAGTGAATTTTTTATAAACTTCTGACCGCGTTAACGAAACCAACAGGGAAAATATCAGAGCAGTGGATTTTCGTATCAACCAATGGTTCACTGTATTTTTCCATTTATTCCCTCAGGGGTATGACACAAGGCTCGGTAGCAAGGGCACTCAATTGTCGGGTGGTCAGAAACAGCGAATTGCTATAGCACGTGCTCTGGTCAGAAATCCACGTATACTCCTTCTGGATGAAGCAACATCGGCTCTCGATACACAGAGTGAGAAGGTGCGTATATTTCATTTATTTTATTCTAAAAAAAAAAACTCCACGACGGAAATAAGGGAAAAAAGACACAACGTGAAATGTCTGTGATGGAGGGATGACTGACATGAAAGACTACCCACACAGATTTTTTTTTCCATCCATATGGGCTGTGCGAATGGGGGAAAACCCCCACGGGGGCACAAGACAAAAGACTATTCTCCAATGTGAACCCTCGCCCAGTGTACAATAGAACCGAGCTACCAATTAACGGCGTTTATAATAGGGGAGCGTTCAAAACTTGGTGGGTGGGATAAATTTTATAAAAGAGTAAATGTCAGGAGGATAAAACCCCTGGAATACGCGGAGGACTTTTTTCCGCAAAGGTTAGATGTTTTTCCGAGCTCAGAGCTCAATGGTCTACTCTCTAACGAAGATGATGCGTGAGGGATTTTTTTTTAACGTTGCGACAGGCCCCGGGGAATATTCGTTGTTACTCGGTGAAAATCCTCTCGTCTGCCGAAGGAGAGGAATTTTTGAAGGGATTATCACCCCGTCATGATTTATAAGTGAAAGAACAGGGGTGAAACTTAAGTTGGAGAATAGTGGAAAGTTTAAAGCAGTTTTTTCCCTACGTCTTTCACTGGGAATTATTCTGTTGTTGTAAACAGGTCGTGCAAGCGGCTCTAGATAAGGCCATGGAGGGTAGAACTTGCATCACTATAGCTCATCGTCTTGCTACCATAAGAAACGCAGACGTGATTTGCGTTTTTGAAAAGGGTACAGTAGCTGAGATGGGTACACACGATGACCTCATTGCAGCTGATGGTCTCTACGCTCACCTTCACGCTCTCCAGGAAGCAGCCATGGAATAAATGACAAAATTATCGGAGTCTCGGTATACTTTCCTTTTTATTCCCTCCCTCTTTCTTTCTCTTCGTAATCTGACATAGGGGAAGGAACAATGTCGTGGAAAATGAAAGGTGAAAATTCTTGTGAAAATAGTGATGTTCTCTCTAGATCACGCATTTAAATTATACGTGTAGTTTCGTGGACGAAAGTCAAACCGACAAATTGAGAACATGTTCAGGTGAAATCACCATTTTTCTATCGTCTCTTTCAATTTTATCCTTGATGAACGGAGGCTTTGGCACATTTGCCAAGATTTTCTGATCTTTTTTAATGTGAAAAATAGAAGAAATGGGAATTTCGGTTGGATAGGTAGTTTGGTTGACCACAGTAGACTTGGGTTCCTTATTAATCATAACTAGGTATTTCTTTGAGGTAGAAGTGTAGGTTGTGCGAGAATTTATTCGCAGAGATTGGTGCTGAGATTGATGCTGAGAGAATTTATTTTCGTATAGAATTGTTTTGTAAGTAAATTATTCAGTGTTTTTCCTTCAGTTTCCGTTCCTTCATATTTATGATGGGATATCTTTCGGTTAGTTTTAATTTGTTTATCTTTTAGATTGAGTAAAAGGTTTTTTTTTAGAGAGAATAATAGCAATTGGCCTGTATCGATTAAACGGCAGCCGCAGACTCTCGGAGTAAATCTCGATGTTATATTATTGCTCTATTCATACACAAATAACACAGTTAGTCTCCCATTTTGTACTAATGAATTGCCATTCTTTCGGTAGAGTTATAATCATTGTATTCCATATTGTTTCGATCATTCTTATTTTATTCTCTCAATTGCGAATATTTTCATAATGTATTTTTGTCGTTGTTACGCTCAGCAGAGACTAGACAAACTTTGCCAGCAAAAAAAAAGAACACGTTCCCATCATTATCGATGGAATAATCTTTAACATAATATTTTTTTTTCCTCGCTTATTGCATCCAACGATAATTAGATACTCGGCCGCTCATCACGGTAGGGTAATGTACTTATTCGCTGACGTAAAAAAGGACCGCAGGGGAACGCAAAAAACGCCCAGCGAGGCGAAATCTTTCTTGTTAGCTCTCGTTAAACGAGGCATGTAGAAGCTCCGCAAGTAAAAAAAAAACACGAGAAGTGTCTTTGCTAGTTATATTTTTTTAGAATTCTTTAAATTGCGGCAATTCTTTTTCTTCTACCTGAGAATTCAGAGGGAATATACTGATAGTTGAATTTTTTATTGAATATATTGTAGGAAATACGTATGTGCCTATATTGTGTCAAGTTTTGATATCTTGTACCGTGAAAGTATGAAGTTCAAACGATGCATGAATATGCCGCCAAAATCGATGCACAAAATCTAATAGCAGTCGTTTATGGCGCATCTACGTTTTTTTGGGACAATTATCCTGTCGTAATGCATATGAAAAATCAAATGGAATATCTGACCCATTCGGTGGAAACACTATGACAATTATATTTGTTTTTCATTGGAAAAAGATAACTTTATGAACCATCTGTTGTTTTTTTTACATATGTTTAAACTATATAAAATCGACAAATTCTTTCCTGTAATTTTTCCGCATTACGAAATTCAGGAAAATAGAATATAATCATGATAGATTGCGCTTGATTTTAAAATTATAACAATGATTTTTGTTCTGTCCATATTATTTGTGAAGGTGTGAAGAGAACTTGTGGAATTTTTGATAGAAAAATTTTGTTCTATTTTCAATAGATTTTCAATTAAATTCATTGAGGGAGGCATTTTACTTTTGGAATTATGTGATCAAACAAAATTGAGGGGTGCCTTTCGCCAATTTGTTTATTACCCAATGACAATATATTTGCGTAAATATTCGTATATTAAAGAATATTGACAACTCTTGAAAACCCACGTTAAAGTTACAACTGTACTTATTGCAATTATTGATCAATGGGGGTAGGATGAATTAAAGTGTTACTGAAAAGATGTAAATACAATATGCAGATATTGACGCGTGGTCTAACTTAGCAGTTCAGTGATACTAGCTATTACAATATACATGAACGAGTATTACTTTTTGTGTTTTTTTTTGTTCAATGTTAAGAGAGACGAGGAAATATTGAATTTATTGTAATCAGCCATGTACCAACTTATGAGCATGAGAAAATAAATCGTTTTAATGCGAAAATGTCCCAAGTTTTTCATTCACCGAATCAATTTTTCCTTCGTAAAGGAACAATTGTTCTCTCATTTATTTTTTTAACAGGTTCGAGGTAATATCATTCATGGTGTGAATAGGTGGAAAATCACTGGGTGGTCCATGAAAATTCAATGTGGAGGGAATAAACCATTGGCTGATACTCTGATCCCACACGATTTTCCGGAAAACGATTTCCCATTGTGGATTATGCGAATTGTTCTGTACTTTTATCGGATAATGCTCTTGATATATTCAACTTTTCTACAACATGTGATGAGAGTTGTTTGTAAGCAAGGATTAGAATCCAGAGCTATACCCGGAGCAGTTGTCCTCGTTGTCGAGGTAATTTCAATTTTGTTCTGCGGTCTGCGATCTCTCGAGTTTGCCTCGACAACCACTGTCGAAATGTGAGGAAAAGTGGTGGCAGGGAATACCTGTAAGTTATGAGCGGATACGTCATCGCCGCCCTATTGTCGCCTTTGAGGACTGAGAGAAAACTAAGTTGACTCAGAACTGAAGTACAGCATTTCCGAAGTTACGACGAGGATAAGGACAACGTGGGATGCTGGAGGATATGTTTTTTTTTCCTCACTTTTGTTCTCTCTCATTTTTTCCCCGTAACTTTCGTTTGCAAAACTTATAACGGGATAGCTGGTGGCTGGAAAGGGGTGAAAAAAAACTTTTATTTTTCACGTATCAGCTTGATCCATGACAACTTTCTAGAGTTGCTGAGGATACCACTAGAGAAATATTCCGAAGCCCCTGACAGTCGAACGATGTTCTGGGAAACTCCGACATATTTGCCCTCTGGGAATTCAATCATGTTGAAACATTCAAAGCCAAGTGATTTTCATGTTTGCGGGCTGGTATTAAGTGAGATTTTATGGAAATGCTATGTTGCCCAGTTCTGCGGTGGATGGACATTTGAATCTAGATGGGCGTTGAGTGATTATTGGAAAACTCTCAGCGGAGAATCTGGAGAGGAAGTTCAGAGGAGTTTCTGAAGATCCAGAGCTAATCAACGATTTAGGAACTTCTGTGGCGACTGGAGAAATATTAAAGACAGAGAATTTTTCGGGAGACAGATATTTCAAGTACGCGATGAACCGAATATATTTTCACCGATGGAATAATTCTGAATAATCACATATATTAATAACAATAATCAATAAATCCAGAAGAATAAATTGGATATTCGAAATAATGTCCAGGAAATCTTCGTGGCAGATAATTGAATTTAATTCACGTTAATGCAGTGAAATTCAGTTTTACTTTTTTAGAGATAAATTATACAGAATACGATTTAATGAGAATTAATGAAACGCGATGAATGGAGCTTGGGGGATATCTCTAGATAAAAAAATCCGAATGTATGACAACCGCATGAGGACGAATAAACGATAGTGGTATTTCGAGCCACTCCAAAGTCCACGGGCGCTAATTTTTTTTTAAATCTGCAGAATGAACCCAAATGTCTGCTCCATCCTGACCTACCCAACACGTTTCCCTCAAGTTGGTGGAATACTCTTTATCTCCAATGTTTTTCAACCCACCTGGGCTTTTTCAGACCACGAAATAGTGAGAGGAGGATTACATGAAATTAACTTCCTGAGAGAGGAGAAAAAAAATGGATGCTCTCGCTGTCGAGAGCCTGCGATATTCAAATTTTAATTTCCATATATGATTTTCCAGTTGAAATTGGCCCCGAGCGTATCAAATGCAGAATTTTCGTTGCTACGTATCATGATGCCTAGTGTTCTTCATGGGAGTTTTCGATTACCGAGAATTTTCAATTGTATTGATTTTTTTAATCCTTCGAGCTTGACGTAAATTATAGTGGTAAATGTCAGAATTCAACTGATTGGGGTAATTATTTTTTTTAGCAGGGTGGTATGGGAATTTTCTAGAGAAATTGCACAGGATATATCATAAAATGACTGAATGAATGGGGATTAGGCTGATGGCAGACATGGCTTAGCCTGAATGTGAACCCGTGGAGCTTGTGGAATTCACGATAGCATTTTATGCTGATTTATATGCACCTCGGTTTCTCAAAGTCGAGCACAAGGTCCATCTATGGAGCGATCGTTGCCTGCAAACCTCAACATCCCGGTGGTATCTACTGTCACTTTGACATTTCTGGTGAGTCGGAGAAGACATAAACTATCGACGGAATGTCTGAGCATCGATCTTTTTCAAGATTTCACAAATCTGGTACTTTACGTTGATGAGAAGTGACGCGCAATCACTGTGAAAAATTTGTTGTAAAATTTGTCCTGACGTTCAGAATGATTATGATTTATTTGATAACAATGAAAACGAATTTTCCAAAAATTTACTGAAATTACTTCACGAATAAATTGTCATTTTTAGCACAAATAAATTAGCACAGTAAATTCCACTGTAAATTTCATTCGTATAATTTTGGATTGAACACATTCTATGTAGGACTTTTTTATCATTTCGCATCTTTCAATCACTCTCTTCTGAATTCAATAATATTTTTTCCGCCTTCAGGCCTTCTTTTTATCGATATATTCATATATATAGAAAGAGAGAGAGAGAGGAAAAGAAATTGTTTGCCTCCCAATTAAAAACAAATAACATGTCAATGATTTTCGCCCGCGAATTCTATCCACATAATTCCGCCGATATAAATGGAATTTTCCTTGTCTCTCCGCGTATTTATTCTATATTCAAATATTTACGCATAAATCTACAATATCGATATAAATTCATAATATCATTTCTCCTTTCCAGAAGGTGCGATAGATCCGGAAATATATCATGCGCCAGTTCTCACCAAGCCCGCGATATGTAAATAGCCATTGTCATTGAAATAGCAATTTATGTTGTGCCATGAAAACGTAGAATATGGAAAAAAAAGAGTAGAGAGACTTTGAAAAAGGCTTTTCCGGGCATTGAATGGCCACATGGATAGCGGTATCGCCATTATTTTAACCATTACAGCAGTTTTTTTTTCTGCGGAAAGTTTGATCCAGATGGGGGAAGCACAGGAATTCCAATTTCAATATGGTGTTTCGCGTGTAACCGCCAAGCCCCTCCGGGTAATATTCCCTAATACCATCTTCACCGAGTGAGTGCGGACTCCAGAAACCCCTAAACCCCCCTTTCTACAAGTATTACACGTACAGACACCCTAAATTTCTGGTAAAATCATGAATCCGTGAGACTTCACTGGAAGTGGGGATGTACCCGAAGCAGAGGTGGCTGACGATTATATCGCACCGAGTTATTAACTATTATCAAACTTGTTAAAGGTTACACTGGCCACGGAGAGACAAGGGTATGACCGTTATACGTGTGGTAACATCGTGTCTTGTTTTGAATTGTGCTCAAACTGTACACCATTGTTAAACTTCAAGCCCTTGGGCATTGTTTCGTACCTCAGTGGTTCAAAACTTTTGCCTTTGAGAAATTCTAACGGACATATTATCTGCCCAACTATATTGATGATATTAAAATTCAGTTTACCCAGTGGATATCGAATGCATTGTTATCTCTGCATGAATACATTTCCAGGGGGTGCCGAGATTTTAATATAAAGTTCGTAACATGTACCGAGAATGTACTTGGGAACTCAAGATCGTCGCCATGGAAAAACTCTCGGAATTATTCCTCAACCCTTCGGTATGCCGATTTTTTTAACAATCACATTTTCACCCATGGAAACGTGAAGTACAATTGTCCGGCAATTTTATCTATTTATTATTTTCCCACCTTTTTTTTTTATTTTGACCGGAAAAGAATAGACGAAATTTTTAGGGAATTCATTGGGCATTCATCCGAAAAATTTTTGCTGCGCCAAAAAAATTAGTCCGTATATGTTTCGAATACATATTAGATGCATGCAGTACATTCATCCCCCATATATCTCAGACTAAGAATTATTTCGCCGAAATATACCCGCCAGATATGTAAATTATTTCCACGAAGAAAAACTAGATCAGTCAATAGATTCAGATTTGTGCTCCTGAAATTTATCATTCGACTGTCTCTTTCCGAGGAAAAAAAGGAATATGCGTCATTGTTTTTCGGAGAACGTACGATGGAAGTTGAATTTCCAGACATTTTCAAAAATAATTACACTATTATTGCAAGTCCGCGAGATTTAAAACGATAACGTCACGCTATCTCGAGTAAATCCGAGAGCTCTGAAGTCTGATCTACCTCTTGTGAAGTTGAATTCATTGAAAACCTCTAGAAATATTAAAAAACCTTCTCCGAGTGCCGGATGAAATACGATCATAACAAAACCCTGAACTTTTCCCAAGCTCGCCTCATTTCCAATTTGCCCCCATGCACTTTCCTCATCCGAGCCAATCCCTTCGCAAAAGCTCTTGTAAATGAATTGGTACAAACTATGGAAAACTAGTGTCTTACTTAGTTGCTCCATATTAACCGCACCGGTCTCCACTCTGGTAGAAGGATTTCTCCAGGTCGGTAAACAAATAAATCAGCACTTCCTGCCTCACGATTTACGCTTTCATTCTGCTGATTCCGCTGTTTCATGGAGGAGAATACGAGGCACTCGTTTCCCCACCATTTTCTTTCCACATTTTTCGTTCATCTTCCCTCTCGAATCTATAAATTTTCCACTCCACAATTGTAATGGCACTGTCTCTCTCCACTTGTGTACGTACACACGTACGCCACTAACGATCTCTTGTTCCCATCGATTTTACTTGAATTCATTCTACCAGTTAAAATGATTATTTCACCCGATTGCACGCGTATTTGCTGGGCAAATGATGCTGTAGTACAAAATTTTGCCCTCTCCTCCCTCTCTCTCTTCCAGTACTCCATTGTCTCCACTCTATATCTTCGAACTAATTACTCCGATTCCATTTAATCATCTGGAAAATCTAATATGCCTCATTAAGTTCAATGGCAATATTGAGTCGATTCTTCTTTTGGTATCTGTTTTCCAATGCCCTCTGTCATCTTCTGCTCCCCGGAACATTCAG